AACTACCGAATAAAGCGTTTGGTAGAAACAACCGAAAGGGTTGTGCGCGAGCGCACAGAAAAAAGCCGTTAAAAGAAACAGAGAATATGGAGGGAAAGTACAGACGGCGGGGAAGCCGTGAAAGACAGCTAGGGAGCCAGGCAAGGTCCCCTGGTATACAGATAGGTTAAGAGCAGTAATAGGGCAAATATATAAAGGTACAGTGATAGAACAAAAGGCATGCAAATGAATAAGTGTATGTAGAAGAGATAACACAAAATTTAGTACTTAACTTGTGATGGAGCAGCAAAGAAAGAGGAAATGATGTCATAGGTAACACCTCTTATACCCTATTCTACGTTGTGATTGGTTAAAAGTTTTGTCACTCTTTTCTTTGCTGCTATGGAGATAGTAAAGAAAGATTATGCAAAATACGAAGCCTCCTGTCATGTGATAAAATTATATATATATATATATATATAGATATATATATATATATATATCTATATCTATATATATATATATTTGTGTTCGGGGCAAATAGCCGTATGTGGAGTAAGGTTCCAGCATAAGTGTAGGATAGTATAAAGGGAGCAAGTCGGTTGTGGTGTGCCGAGACCGACGATACGGTAGGCCTGTAAATAAAGAGGGCAAAAAGAATAATCAAAGATTTAATACAGTAAACAATATATACAAATTAACCAGACATTTCCTTAAATGCATTACGGTATTTAATTCCTTGAAGGATTTTGAAGGTAGGAATCTAGGACCGCAACTGGACACCATTTGTTGTGGGTAGGATAGTATGTTATCTCTACTGTTGGTGCGTGTTGACTTGTTTCGGAATGTGGTAGAGCCAATAGGTAATGATATATGTGGGATCGTTGAAGACAATGATCTGTCTGAGTGGTGGTTATGGTAGTGGATTCTCTGGCCTGAGAAAGGCATAAAAGGCAGTGTGTGCATGGCTGGTAATGGCCAACTTGGTAGTATAATTGAATGGTTGTAGCTCTAATAGGTCCGATAAGGATGGAAAAGTTGGATGGCTATTGGTAATCTCTGAGTGGAACGTGGGGGGATAGTATAGTATATTCTTATCTGGTATGATAGCATGAAGTTATGGTAGTTTTGGCCATAGGTTATCCTCTGTTGTTGAATGCCTGTAAAATATATAATTAATGGTGTGTGAGATGGTTTTAGTTTAAGGTGGCAAAAAATGAAGCAAAACCTAGGAGAAATGTTATGACACAGGTTGAGCTATGTCGTGTTCCAATGAGATTCTTTAAAGCCAGGTGAATAGCTGTGTTATGCGTTCTACAAGTATGGGATGAAAGTGCTAGGTGGGATAGTGCATGCTATGCTGCATGAGTATGTCTAATCCATGATTTTGTCTCTGGAACGAAAGAGTGGCCGTGACTGTATGGGCGGCTGTAGGAAGCGTATGATGAACATGCCTGGAATATAAATGAGACAATTGTCGGCAGGGATGTATACCCCCGCCTGGTACATGAAAGTAAAAGAAATGTGGTAAGTGGCCAACCAAGTGAGTTCCCCAGCAATACCATGGTCGTATGGATGATGAGTGGCATTTGTTGATGATATGACATGTGCTTAGTTGTCTGAGTAACAACGGATTGATGACCCTGACCATGCTGCTTTTAGCGGGGAAAGGATTGCCCATTTATGCCATGTAAGTGCCAGTTTGTAGGGTAGATGGTAGCAGTTTACTGTGTTGATGATATTGGTCTTACTTAACAAAGCTTCAACCCATGCTTGAGTGATAGCTGTAAAGGTAGATCAATGGTGTGTATAGTAAGGAAACTCCTCAGAGGGTATGAGGGAGTTGAGACTTGGGGTAGAGAAGGTGTGTGGTGCCAATAAGTCTATGGTTAGTCTTTGTTTAAGGGAAGATTCCCTTGTGACAATACCAATGTGTTTGGTGCCATGCTGTAAATGGTGGAGATTGGAAAACCCAAGTAAAAACCCCTCTGCAAATCTTGGCTATGTGTGTTTACAGCCGACGGTTCTGTTGTGCTGACTGTAAGTGAGGGCATGCTATATTCCTTGAGGGTTTATTTATGATACATGTATGGGAGCCCTTTGAAGCTCCAGAGCCTTAGTAAATCTACTACAAGTCTGGAAGGATGATGAGTCAGTAGTGTTGAAAATGCATTGGTGTGTACAGATGGTGAGTACGTTATTTGTAAGTTGTATTGGGACACATTGTTTGTCATGTGCCCTGAATGATTTGAACATATATGGAACAGTCTATATGCAATGCAACTACTAATACCAATTGTCTCTGGTAGTTCAGAGGTGCTGGTACCTGGAGCCTGAGAGTGCTCGTCTGTTTGTTTGGGAGAAAATCCCTTCTGTATGGGTACCTGCACAAATAAGCATCTCTACATATTCCAAATGCCAACACAACCAAGAGATGGTCAGTTCCCGATTTACCTAGAATCCCTGGTTCTGATCATCATAGATACATCATCATACATATATATGCCTTGTTTCCCCAATGTGCCGGGATCATATGTGCAGGGTTAACGTCTTGTACCAAGAATTGATTTTACCGGGTAACCGAGTTTCGGTTGGTGCTGGTTGTACAGTAGCGTGAGGCCCAGCCTTGTGAGGGCTGTGACCGACTCGAGATTGCCAGTCTGTCGTAAATTTTTTGGCTCATGAGTTTATGAGTGAGGCTAGCATGGCCTGGGTGTCACCTGAGTTGGTGTTGCTGGGCTTTCCCCTGCCTCCGTGTTGTCCGTTGATGTATGGAGGCGTTTGAATAACTCTGCTTTCCTTGCTCTGGCAGGGTAGGGGATTTTTCGCCTCCTTAGGTCGGAGCCACATCTCCTCTGCTTGAAGGTGTATCACTGCTAGCCGGGGTGCCAGGAAGAGGTGATTCTTCACCATCTTTTTGAGAAATACTTAAATAACAATAAAGATTGCAATTATTATTTGTACCCAGGGGTCTTGTACTGGCTTGCTAGCTAAGCCGTAAGGCGAAACGATTAGGCTTGGTGTTTTTTGGTGACTGGTGAGGCCCTGCTAGATACCAAGTGGCTTGAGAGGCTCTATCTATGCTTGGCGCGAGGGGATTTTTTGTGGCCACCAAACGTTGTGGCAGGATGTTGGCCTCTCGGTGACAGTAACCAGAAAATATGAAGGGGAGTGACTGGTGAGGCCCTCTCTATGATACAATGCGAGGTGGCTAGCACACGAGTGGCCCGAGGGGTGTATGCCTCCGAGTGTGAGGCGGGGTGTTGGCCTCGCGGGACCACTAACCAAAGCGTAAAGCAGAGAAAACAGGGGGTAATACCTATTGGGCCATAGAACCCTAATTGCCAGTACATTACTACTACTCCAGGGAAGGTAAGAGATGAAGGTGTATCACTTCTAGCCATGGTGCTAGGAAGAGGTGATTCTTTACCATCTTTTTGAGAAATACTTAAATAACAATAAAATTGCAATTATATATTTGTACCCAGGGGTCTTGTACCGGCTTGCTAGCTAAGCCGTAAGGCGAAACGATTAGGCTTGGTGTTTTTTGGTGACTGGTGAGGCCCTGCTAGTTGCCAAGTGGCTTGAGAGGCTCTATCTATGCTTGGCGCGAGGGGATTTTGTGTGGCCACCGAACGTTGTGGCAGGATGTTGGCCTCTCGGTGACAGTAACCAGAAAAATAGGAAGGGGAGTGACAGGTGAGGCCCTCTCTATGATACAATGCGAGGCGGCTAGCTCACGAGTGGCCCGAGGGGTGTATGCCTCCGAGTGTGAGGCGGGGTGTTGGCCTCGCGGGACCACTAACCGAAGCATAATGCAGAGAAAAAAGGGGGTAATACCTATTGGGCCCTAGAACCCTAATTGCCAGTACACTATTACTATTCCAGGGAAGGTAAGAGATGGATAACTACGTGAGCAGGTGTATGTACCTGGTAGTATGGTATTGAACCTGACAATCCGTATAGGTTTTTTAGTAGTAACTGTAACCTGAATGGATAAAATCGTATGGCATAAGGAAATATAGCATAGACCAAGCTTATCTTAAAACATACAGTATATGTGAAAGTAAAGTGCTGTGATATGTAAATATTAAACATCATATCCATACTGGTTAAATATGTATCAATCTTAACCCATTAAGTGCTGTATGTATGTGAACCATATTACCAGTTACGTATATACAGATGCGTGTGCTACTGAGTAATAATATGTGTATTTATAACAGATGTTGATATACTGCTTGCTATGTGAATTGTATGCCTTATTGAATGGTCAGTGAACATGGTGTTTCAAAATGCAAGTGCACTGGAGATCTGCCGAGTGCCCTATAGGTGGCAGTGTAGTTGATACTGATTGGTATGTGAAATGTTGTTTGTCTGTTGACCTATAGGGGTCAGTGTTTTGGTGTTTGTAAAACCCCATGAAAAACCCCATGAAAATTGTCAATGTACTTGACAGACCTGTAGGTGGCAGTGTTGATAGAACCACTGTTAGTCTTGACGTGAAATGTAAATTATTGTGAATTAAACCTGAAGTTGAGCCCGTGTTGGAGTTTAATTTAGGGTTTATGGTTATGTTTAAAACAATCTTATGTGTAATTTATATTGGCTGGTAATTGTATATGACATGTGAAGACAGTTTTGCTGTTGACCAGTAGGGGTCAGAAATGCTGATTGTATGGTAAAATACCCTTTAACCCCTGAAGGATACATGACATGTGTGACATATCATGATTCCCTTTTATTCCAGAGTTTGGTCCTTAAGGGGTTAATCCAAATGCAAGGTTAACGTGAGATTTTGAGAGTGACCTGTAGGAGTCAGTGTGGTTTATGTGAAACATTGTTCATGAGCTATGCCCCAGCATTATAGTTGTATGACAGGGTAACAAACAGTGCCCGTTTGACAATATACAATAAGTGAACATAATAGCTTAATAACAGTCATTGTAACAAACCAAAGTTCTGTTCGTGGGTTGTAAACGCACAAAACTTTGTGTAGTACAATAGTAAATGCATAAACTAGTTCCCGTTTGGTAGAAAATTACACGAACCGTGAGCCTAGTATGTCAGGGAAACAAAACGAAACGAGCAGTGAGATTCGAAATGCACGCACAGAATTGCCTAGTATGTTTAGGCAATTGAAACAGAATGTGTTCCCGTTTGGAAGTATGCTAATGCTCGAAATGAGCCAGTGACAGATATAAACAAGTGAATTTAAATGAATGATATGCATGAACATGCAATGGTTTTAGGACAGATTTAGACAAAATGCAGCCTTAAAGTGAGGACCCGACCCGTGCATGGTGCCGTGGGACTGATGCCTGGCGTAACGGGTAGGTCGATTTACGGTTTGTGAGTCACTTGGACACCAACAACAGCGATAGATTGAAGAAAGAATGTGGAAGGCCAGAAAAGCCTGTGGCTGAATTCCTGACACAGCTCAGCTTAGAAAACCTCATGGAGTAATCAGGTAAAATGGCGTCTGGATGACCCGGAAGTGGAAATCATTCTGATGCTGACCTCAAGCGATATGAGTCAGGTAAGGGTGTCCCTTATATAGGGGAGTGAATTAATTTAAGCCCCTCCCACAAATACAGGCCAAACGGCCTTAAAACATATTAATATCATAATCCATGTAAAATTACATTAATTTTATATATATATATATATATATATATATAGATATATATGTATATCTATATATATATAGACATATATATGTAATAAATAAATATATATATAAATACTTTAAAAATAAAAAAATAATAAAAATATATAATTAAAAAATATATGTGTAATTTTGTTCTAACTGTATTTTGATATCAATATATATATCAGGAGACTTAGTTGAACACAAATATTAGTGTTTCAAAACAGTAAAATGTATTACAACGATGATATCATCAGTGAAAGTGGGCCCAAACGGCCCTACACTGATGATATAATTGTTGTGATACCTTTTACGGTTTTGAAACCTTAATATTTGTGTTCAACTAAGTCTCCTGAGTATAACGGTACTCCTCATGTACAGATTGTGTTTTCAAAAGTTACAGAGTCAAATATAAGTCTTGTGTTTCAATTTTTTCACATTGAAAATCACCAGATAGGTTACGTTGCATTTGAGACCGTATGGTGGCCCAGGAATGAGAATTACCCCCATGATGGCATACCATTTGCAAAAGTAGACAACCCAGTGTATTGCAAATAGGATATGTCCAGTCTTTTTTAGGAGCCACTTAGTCACAAACACTGGCCAAAATTGGCGTTTAAATTAGTTTTTTGTATTTTTCACACACAAACAAATATTAAGGCTAGCTTTGGCCAGTGTTTGTGACTAAGTGGCTACCAATTTGTAATACCTTGGCTTGTCTACTATTGCAAATGGTATGCCATCATGGGGGTAATTCTCATTCCTGGGCTACCATATGGTCTCAAAGACAACGTAACCAATCTGACGAATTTCAATGTGAAAAAATGAAAAATGTAAAAAGCTATATTTGACCCTGTAACTTCCCAAAACAACATATAATCTGTACATATGAGGTACCATTTTACACGTGAGACATCGCTAAATCCAAATACATGTCTTTTATTGCAGTAAAAGCAAACAGTGTTATGACATTCACAGTTAAAATGTCATGCAGAAAAAAATTCTAATTTTCTCACGTTTTTTTATATTTTATTCAGATCATATTAAATTATGCATCATTGCTAAATATGTGATGTTAAATGAAAGCCCTATTTCTCCTGAAAAAAATGATATATAATAAGTGTGTTTGCACTTAATATGAAATAGGTGAATTACGGTTGAACAGACATATATTCAAATTACAAGTTTTGTTTACATTTTATTTTGATTAAAATGTGTACATTTGGATCAGTCCTTTAGGGGATAAATAAGATAAATATATGCATACATGATGAATTACATGCATGTGAACAAATTTGTAGCATTATGTATATAACCTTGTGCTATTTACTGCATATCCTAAGTATTTATTTTCTTAATTTCTTTTCCTACTTTTAAAAAACAAACCCCAATGTTTCAAATTTGAAAACAATTTAATTAGTCATACTGATTGACATTTTCTTGCCTACATCTCTTATGTTATAAGACTGCACCTTTAGTGTATTCTATTGAGAAGCATTCTTGCATGTATTGTAAAATCGAATTTACAATATATTCATGGTAAAAATAAATATGAAGGCTGTACATTTTCTGTTTCATTGCCAAGTTTGTATTGAGCTTTGTCTATGAAAGAATCATGTTGTATTCTTTAACATAATACAATTCTACATCATGATTTTCTATAGTAAGTAATGCATATTGATCATTTAAAACACTTATTAGTAGAGGTTACAAAATAGCTGTCACTTCTCTGGAATTTAAATTGTGTAACACATTGAAACTTGTGTTAACCCTTTTTTCCCAAGAGATGCTTCAATTTCTTTAAATTTATATAAAAGATTTAACAAACAACATCATAGATCCACTTCAAACAGGGCAAGGCCAGGGCAACAATTACAAAGAAAAAGTCAAAGGCACATAAGAGTGCCAAAACGTCTGTTTTCTGTGCTTCTTTAACAAAGACTGCCTTATGAGGAAACCACTGGTGTGCCCAGGCTTTGTGTATTCTGAAGATTCACCTAACTTGGGAATTGGCCTTTCCTGTTTGTAGGCACCCTAATTTCAGTTTATACCCTAAGAGTGTGAGCATGACCACTTTCTCTCAAAATAGATGTTTTTTTTTTTTTATGCTGGCTACCAAGTGAAAAGGAGAGGGTATAAAACAATGACTGACACAAAGGTAAGATGCAGGTATGCAGTTGGAGGATAAAAGGTGTAGCTTTCATCATTCCAGGGTCCAATTTAACATTGACCTGCAGAGAGTCCCAGGAGGAAGTAAGTGGATTGATCTCATAAGGGGAAGCATTAGGCTGCTAGAGTAGGACCTGCTAAAAATGGGGTACATTAACATTGTGGCAGGCTTATGCAATATGTAATCATATAATGTGTGACGAAAGTAACCTTGTCACTGGTTCTTGGAGTGGCCTGCTGGCCAGCCTCTTGCCTCAGGACTATGGGTCCTGCAATATACCTTGGCCAATGCACTTTAAAAGGCTTTGTTAATATGAAGTATGTACTTTTGTACTCCAGACAGAGAGACCAACCATTAGCACTAATTCTCTGGAACTGTTTTGGGCATGGGACCATGTGCATGGTTGGTCAAAACTATGACTTCCAGGAAATTCCTGAACCCCTAAACCGATCTGGGGGATTTTTTTGACATGTTGTTAACCCAGATTGGGGCTATCGGGGGATGTAACATTTATGGGGATATGTTTTGTTTTGGGTACTTTTGGGGTTTAGTAAAATATGTGTTTTTTCTGCCTGGAGATAATTGAGTTAATACAGTATCTGACTCAATTATCTCACAGGCAGAGGGGAGGGATTGTATGTTTGTTATGGGAACATTGTACCTTTAATTACTATTCTGATTGGTTTGTAAGCTTTGTGTCCCTGTCCCCAACAAGGTCCATGTGGGTGTACACCTTGCTTGGGGACTTGCATAAAATGGCCAGCTGTGGATTCCATTAAACAGAATGCTTTACCCCTTCATAAAGTCTTGGCTCATGTTTGGGGGATTGGAGAACTACATTCACTCTGGGGATTGCTATATCACAATACTCCCCTGAATGTAAACACTAGCTCTTATAAGAGCTGTTCCTGCTACGCTCTCTGGACTAGAAGAGCTCTACCCACTGGAAGCTGGATCCTGGTCTTGGGTCCATGGTGGGTGGAGGACGGCGAGACACCAACCAAGCTGCAGCTGTTTGTGGGGTTTACTGTGGTTATGGTGTCTGGTGTGGTGCTTATGGTACTCACAAGTACTAGGAAGCAGTAATAGACAGAGGTACCCAGTCAGGGTGCAGGCGGTCCGTCACATAATGTAACTAAACCCCCATTATTTTTTGCCTAGGTGAGGTGTTTTTAAATAAAACTATTACAATCTGTGAGAATTGAAATCATTGTTTAGTGAATAAGTGAGTGCGCTGGATTGTGTATTTTGTATGTTATTTATATATATATATATATATACAGTGCCTTGCAAAATTATTCACCCCCTTGACTTTTTATCTATTTTGTTACATTACAGCCTCTTCAGTTCAATGTTTTATTAATCTGAATTTTATGTGATGGATCAGAACACAATAGTCTAAGTTGGTGAAGTGAAATGAGTAAAATATATACATAAAACTATTTTTTAGAAATAGAAAACTGAAAATTGGCATGTGCGTATGTATTCACCCCCTTTGTTATGAAGCCCATAAAAAGCTCTGGTGCAACCATTACCTTCAGAAGTCACATAATTAGTGAAATGATGTCCACCTGTGTGCAATCTAAGTGCAACATGATCTGTCATTACATATACACACCATTTTTGAAAGGCCCAGAGGCTGCAACACCTAAGCAAGAGTCACCACTAACCAAACACTGCCATGAAGACCAAGGAACTATCCAAACAAGTAAGGGACAATGTTGTTGAGAAGTACAAGTCAGGGTTAGGCTATAAAAAAATATCCAAATCTTTGATGATCCCCAGGAGCACCATCAAATCTATCATAACCAAATGGAAAGAACATGGCACAATAGCAAACCTGCCAAGAGACGGCCGCCCACCAACACTCACGGACCGGGCAAGGAGGGCTTTAATAAGAGAGGCAGCTCAAAGACCTAAGGTAACCGTGGAGGAGCTGCAGAGTTCCACAGCAGAGACTGGAGTATCTGTATAAGCCGTACGCTCCATAGAGTTGGACTTTATGGCAGAGTGGCCAGAAGAAAGCAATTACTTTCAGCAAAAAACAAAATGCCACGTTTTGAGTTTGCGAAAAGGTATGTGGGAGACTCCCAAAATGTATGGAGGAAGGTGCTCTTGTCTGATGAGACTAAAATTGAACTTTTCAGCCATCAAAGAAAATGCTATGTATAGCCAAACCCAACACATCACATCACCCAAAGAACACCATCCCCACAGTGAAACATGGGGGTGGCAGCATCATGTTGTTTTTTTTTTTTTTCAGCGGCTGGGACTGGGAAACTGGTCAGAGCTGAGGGAAAGATGGATGGTTCTAAATACAGGGATATTCTTGAGCAATACCTGTACAACTCTGTGCGTGATTTGAGGCTAGGACGGAGGTTCACCTTCCAGCAGTACAATGACCCCAAACACACTGCTAAAGCAACACTTGAGTGGTTTAATGGGAAACATGTAAATGTGTTGGAATGGCCTAGTCAAAGCCCAGACCTCAATGCAATAGAAAATCTGTGGTCAGACTTAAAGATTGCTGTTCACAAGCGCAAACCATCCAACTTGAAGGAGCTGGAGCAGTTTTGCAATGAGGAATGGACAAAAATCCCAGTGGTAAAATGTGGCAAGCTCATAGAGACTTATCCAAAGCAACTTGGAGCTGTGATTGCCGCAAAAGGTTGCTCTACAAAGTATTGACTTTAGGGGGGTGAATAGTTATGCACATTGATTTTTTCTGTTATTTTGTCCTATTTGTTGTTTGCTTCACAATAAAAAAAAAAATCTTCAAAGTTTACTGCATGTTCTGTAAATTAAATGATGCAAATCCACAACAATCCATGTTAATTCCAGGTTGTGAGGCAACAAAACACGAAAAATGCCAAGGGGGTTAATACTTTTGCAAGGCACTATATATATATATGTGTGTATATATATATATATGTGTGTGTATATATATATATATATATATATATATATATATATATATTGCAGATATCTGCTTTAAAGACAGAGAATAAATTATCAATTTGACTCAAAAAGTACCGTTAAAGAAATGTAGAAATATTATGGATGATTAGACATCATTTTTACATACATTTCTTTCACTGCATTATACTTAAGTAAAGTTTATTACCTTATTTAGAATTCGATACACATGTAATTATCAAGATACTAAGCTTATATAGATAAATCCAAGTTAATGTTTTTTATGAAGTTGCCAGATTACCTTATTTAACCCCTTAAGGACGGAGCCAAATGTACACATTGTGAACAAAACAAAATGTAAACAAAACCTGGCATTTGCGCTACTTGTCTGTCCAACCGTAATACACCTCTTTCATATTAAATGCACCCACCCTTATTATATATCATTTTATTCAGGGGAAACAGGGCTTTCATTTAATATCAAATATTTAGCTATGAAACATAATTTAATATGAAAAAAATGGGAGAAAATACGAATTTTTTGATTTTTTTAGTTCTAAATTGCATTTTAAAGGTCAGTGTCATAATACTGTTTGATTTTACTGCAATAAAATACACATATTTGTATTTAGTAAAGTCTCACGTGTAAGACAGTACCCCCTATGTACAGGTTTTATGGCGTTTTGGGAAGTTACAGGGTCAAATATAGCACGTTACATTTGAAATTGAAATTCGCCAGATTGGTTACGTTGCCTTTGAGACTGTATAGTAGCCCGGGAATGAAATTTACACCCATAATGGCATACCATTTGCAATAGTAGACAACCCAAGGTATTGCAAATGGGGTATGTCCAGTCTTTTTTAGTAGCCATTTGGTCACAAACACTGGCCAAAGTTAGCGTTAGTATTTGTTTGTGTGTGAAAATGCAAAAACGCTAATACATTTTACTGTTTTGAAACACTAATATTTGTGTTCAGCGAAGTCTCCCGAGTAGAACAGTACCCCCCATGTACAGGTTTTATGGTGTCTCGGAAAGTTATAGGGTTAAATATAGTGCTAGCAAATTAAATTCCCTTTACTTTCGGCATGGGTTGTCAGGCAGGTCCTGCTAATTGTAATTAATTAAGATACCCAATTATGTAAAAATATTACATAAATATATATGTAGAATTAATATATGTATATATATACGTATGTGTATATATATGTATATATCTATAATTTTTTTTAAATATTTTTATTTATATATAGGTATATATATAGTGATATATACGTATATATTTATGTATATAGATATATATATTATTTCGTTCTACGTGTATTTTGATATATATATATATATATATATTTCACAAAACAGTTAGAACGAAATAACACACATCTATATATTTTTTAATTATTTATTTTTAATTATTTTTTTAATTTTATTTTTTAACGTATTTACATTTTTTTTTTTTTATATTATATATAAATATATATATAACAATAATTATATATATATTTAATCAGTATCAGTCTACGTGTAATTTGATATTAATATATATATATAATTATATATATATTAATAGTAAAATACACCTAGACGGTGTATGTGTGTGTATGTATATGTGTATATATATACTTAGATCATATATATATAATATATATATATGATCTAAGTATATATAATTATTTTTTTTTACACCATTAACTTATTTTTATTTTATTTTCAGCCAGCAGGGGGACCACCTGTCATTACAGGCAGCCCCCCTGCCGGCAATACAGAAGCCAGCTATCCCCGGCCATGTGATTGTGGGGTCCTCGCTAGGACCCCACTCTCACATGGCCGGGGGGCTTCAACAAGGACGGATGTGCCGCGGGGGGCTCCCTGGGAGTCCCCCCCACCGCGATCGCCGGCGTGGGACCGCCGGCGACCGGGTAAGTTAACAAAAACCGGAGGGCGTACAATTACGCCCGGCGGCGTTTAGAGCCGCCTATTAGAGGGCGTAATTGTACGTCCTCCGGTTTTAAGGGGTTAATTGATAGCACAGGCAATAAATATATCATATCCTTCTGAGACCCAGCCCATTAACTCGTGTCCTCTGTACTGGACATTTTGTTCACATGCATCTCCTTTTATTCTTTTGAGCTGCTCTACTAATCCATGCTGTATTGTAAAGAGGACATCTTGGGCTTTCCAGTGATATGTCATGTGATATGCTGGGAAATTCCTCTTCCTTTTCATCAAAAATGGAAAGATAATTGAAGACAACTTTTTTCCTCGGTTCCCAGGAGGATATTTACTCTGTGAGAGTCACAACCAGACCATGATCACAACATGTTTAAAGTAGAATATTAGAAAAGAAAAAGACACAACACCCAGTGAGAGAAAAGAGGAATCTTTCACTGGAGTTGGTCAGGTTGCAGGGTATTAGGGCATAACCCAAAAAAATATAAAATACAGAAAAGTGAGAGCCTGAAATGGGATTACAGAATAGTCCTCCCAAATATCAGTCCATATACCCTTAAGAAAGGCTGTTCCGCTAATCTGAGGCAACAAGTTGCCATTAGGACATAAATAGAATTTCTATAAAATAATACATTTTTATTAATCCCTCTTGAGGGGAAATATAAACAAATAATAGTGATAACAAGTGTATATACAGTGAAAAATAAAAAATGTGTGTATATATATAAGAACCGTCTGCTGTTCCACTAAATATATGGTATTTGCAACACATCAGTTAGCTCCTTCATTAATAACTGAGATTTAAGTATAAATTGTTGCTATTGATTTGTTTGTAACAATGTCTCAGTAGCTAATATAACTGTTGGTATAAATCAACGGAAGTCAAAGTTAACCACTAAAAGAAAATGAAATACTCGAAAGAACAAAATAATAAAAGACAAAATACTAGAAAGAACAGGGCGCCACAATCACTATATTGGTATATAATAATGAGGGAATAAGAAAGAAATATAGAATATAAAGTGAAAAAGTTTATTGATACAAAATACAATCACAGCACAACATATGTGCCCAAATATCTAAAAAGCCACAATAGACAATTGCCTATTGTGGCTTTTTAGATATTTGGGCACATATGTTGTGCTGTGATTGTATTTTGTATCAATAAACTTTTGCTGCTTTTTCACTTTATATTCTATATTTCTTTCTTATTCCATCATTATTATATACCAATATAGTGATTGTGGTGCCCTGTTCTTTCTAGTATTTTGTCTTTTATTATTGGAGTTGGAGTGTCCTGTTTACAGAGGCTTGCCTGCACTTGGTTTTTGTTACCCACCCACCTTTCTACTTCTTTCTAAAATAAAGTGACCACAATGAATTGCATCACACATAGCAGTATACAATTGTGTGTTAATCAATATAAATATTGGTGTCCTTTCATGGTATAACACCTTTTGCTTCAGGAGGAATCCCATCCCTATACAACACAAATTGATTCTATATGCTAAAGCTAGATAGGGTTTACGCACTAGGATTTAGTGATTTGGATTGTCAGGGATGTGAAAAGTGCCTAATATAGTCTTATCTAATTGTAACATGGGGGCATTCTGTTAAGTATTATAATTGGGGCTGTAGAGTTATTCTATCGGCTAGGATTCTGGCTACATTTTTAGTTCAGATAGCACTACCGTCTAACTTCCCAAAATACTCTTTCAAACGTCATCCCCCTGCCCCCATAAGATCCTGGCAAATTTAGCCCCCACCTATTATCCTGGAAGCAAAAGGTGTTATACCATGAAAGGACACCAATATTTATATTGATTAACACACAATTGTATACTGCTATGTGTGAGGAAATTTATTGAGGTCACTTTCTTTTAGTGGTTAACTTTGACTTCCGTTGATTTATACCAACAGTTATACTAGCTACTGAGACATTGTTACAAACGAATCAATAGCAACAATTTATACTTACATCTCAGTTATTAATGAAGGAGCTAACTGATGTGTTGCACATACCATATATTTAGTGGAACAGTAGACGGTTCTTATATATATAAATTTTTTTATTTTTCACTGTATATACACTTTTTATCACTATTATTTGTTTATATTTCCCCTCGAAGGATTAATACAAATTTATTATTTTCTAGAAATTCTATTTATGTCCAAATGGCAACTTGTTGCCTCAGATTAGCAGAACAGCCTTTCTTAAGGGTATAGGGACCGATATTTGGGAGGACTATTCTGTAATCCCATTTCAGTCTCTCTCTTTTCTGTAAAGTAGAATATTAGTTAAAAACTTAGTCTTCTCTTCAGGGAGCAGTGATGTTCAGATAAGGTGATCGCAGGTGTGGTTGATTGTGGCCCGGTGGAAGCACAGACTCCACATGGGACGTTAAACTAAGCTGCCTTGCTATTCCTCTTGTATGCTATGCATATTCAACAGCATTATGGGAGCAAACTCCACGACCAAAGTCAGAGCCAGCTGAATATTGCCCAGTTGGTGAAACTACAGGTGAAGCCGAAACTATTTTCTTATAGGCACTTACTTACGATTTGCACTCTGCCTGCCTGCCTGTCCACTTGTTCCTGGTGCCACAAACTGGTATCTTTGGGAGTTCTATGGTCCTGAGTTCGGACGGTGTAGTTGTGACCACGAGTGAAACCGGGAGTTCATCCACTCTTAGAGGCGCTCGCTAACCACGTGTGTTGCGGTGCGCTCTTGACGCCAAATGCTGAGGAATGCAGACTTGCAACTTCAGTGGGCTTGTAGACCCTTCTGCCGGGACCCAGCTGATTACTGCAAGTGTGTCCGAAGCTAGTTCTTCCTAGAGATATCCGCTTGTTGTGTACACCTTAATGTGCAGCTGATGCCTGCTGTGTAGGACCTGTGCTCCGACCTGCTGCGGAGTCAGGCAATCCAGGTGATCAAATGAGAGCAGGCAGTGTGCTGTGGGTGAACTCAGTCATTGTGAGTACTGAGTGTTACTGAAGTGCTGAAAAGACTATATTGCTTTTTGAGAATAATTTGGGACTTCTCTGCCGTGAGTGAAACTAACTTAATATCATGATCTCTAGAGTTTCTATGGTATAGAGATCTATAAACAAAGCTGAAACATTTTGACAAACTAAGCGCTGTATGAGAAACTAAATTGAATGAATAATGATACTTTTTCCCATAGAAACCAGATAATTCAAATCTAGATACAAACTTTCATTTAACCCCTTAAGGACACATGACATGTGTGACATGTCATGATTCCCTTTTATTCCAGAAGTTTGGTCCTGAAGGGGTTAAATAGGCTCTGGCATTGGAGACAACTTTTGTGTAAAACATTTCCTGTTTCACTGATACATGTATCTTATTATTTTTGGCTGCCAAAGAGATATAGACACAATTCTTTATTTTCTAGGATATGATATCCTCTCAGACGAACCAACAGTAAGGGAGGAAAAAAAAAAAAGGAAAAAGAAAAAAAAAAGGGGGGGTGTCATTTACTGATTTAACTGTATTTATTTGATTAATTTGGTTGCTTAATAATTTAGGAAGTTGGGTTTATTTGTATTTAGATTTTTTTTTCTTGTTTGTTTGTTTTGTTCTACACTGTTACCAACATGCCTCCAAAAAAATCCTCTACAACGGATAAAACAGCAAAGAACAAATCTATCGGTACTTTTTATTCCCAAATCAGATCCTAATAAATCCCAAAGGAGATCTTTATCTCCTCCTCCCTTGGGAGAGCTAGGCTCAAAAATAACTATCTTAGAAACCCCTACTCTCCCCTCGGAAAGTATATCAAATCAAAGCCTCACTAAAATGATGGATGACTTATATGAGAAAATCAAAACATCTCTGAAGTAATTAAAGAGATTTCTACTCTCAATGTAAAAATTGATTAACAAAACCAAGAAATTTAAAAATGAGCTCAGCGATTACATAATTGAAATCACATAACTTAATTCTCAAAAAACAAATTAAAAATGTGGACAACAAACTAGCCGAGTTTGAAGATAGGTCCCATAGAAATAATATAAGAATTTAGGGTATATCAGAAGAAATTGAGCAAGAAGGTTTAACTGGCTTTGTTCATGAATTTATCTCTCAATTCATCAATTCCTCAACTGTAATGCCTTCTCCAATAGAGAGATGCCACATGATCTTTAGATCTAGAGATATAGAACATTCTAATCCCAGAGATGTGATTGTAAGATTTATGAATTCTTCAGTGAAAGATGAAATGTTGAAGCAATTTAAATTTCATCCAGACTTAAATAATGAGAAGTTTGGAAACATATTGGTCTTTCCTGATATTTATGTGACAACAATACTAAATAGAAGAAGATTTAAAGATCTAACACTACAGCTGAGATCCAAAAATACTAGTTATAAGTGGGGCTTCCCTACTAAATTGATAATTTTCCATAATAGTACAATTATTTCTATTAAAGATCCAATCGAAGAACTCCCTAAATTAAAAAATCTAGGAATAATAGAATTAATTTATCAATTTCATCTAAATAAGAAGGGGAACAATAATTCTCTATGACAGGATCAAAGTAGTAACAATGGGGAATTTCAAGAATGAAGGTAAAGAAAAAAAGGGTAAGGAAGTCATTACTATATAGTGAAATATGCCAGTTTTCTTGTGTAGCTCTATTGAATGGATGGGTATATATATATATATTTTCCTAGATTATATTATTATTCAGAGAAATTAAATCACAAAAGATAAAATTTTATACTTTTTGCACATATAACAGATTGAACAGAAAGATATGATGATATAATTATTGGATTACAATGAGGAAACTACAAACTAATCCACTTTAATAATTGCATAGATAATGGTTGTTTTTTTAGTAATAAACATGATAGCACAAATTTATACTTATACTTACACACATAGAAAAGGGGGTGAGAAGGCAAAAAAGAAAAAAAAAGAAAAAAAAAGGAAAAGGCAATTTTCACAGAAGAGTAAATGAAGAGAAAATTTAAGCAGGTTGCTTTTACGATATTTAACACTGGAATCTAAATAATTTTATATAATATGATTTAATATATTGTATATATATATACCCATCCCTGATAATTAGTTCAGTACTCAATGAGATTATATGTCCATGTCTTTTTGACTTTCAGTGTATAGTCACAATCCGATTTCTGAACTTTTTTCCCCTTCCTATATATCATTTTATATATCCTCTGGTTTCTTATATTGAGGAAAAGGTGTTATTAACCCATCTGTGAAGCCTAGAGTCTTTATGATTCTTAGATTGAGCACATTTTATAACTATTACCTGGCCACAAAAAACCACCAGCACTTGATTTTCCCTGAGACTTTTATTTTTTATTTTTGGGGTGTTAGTATGTTAGTATGTTTAGAGTTCACGCAGGGTAATCACCTATATGATATATATTATCTAATTATGGCGGTACATTGTTTGTGTGTTGTATTATTTGATATATTGTATTGTAATGATGTAACTGATTATGTTGCATGTGAGGGGTTGGCCATCGGGAATGGAGAAGGACGAGCTTTATTGGAAATTTTAGAGCCAACTTTTGGAAAGGAACTCGTGAATATGAGTAACCATGTCAATTAAAATTGCATCTATAAATGCACAGGGTTTGAATTCTCCACTAAAAAGAGACATTCTGTATACAATATTGATAGAAGACAACATCGATTTGTGCTTTGTCCAAGAAACTCACTGGAAAGATAGGGAAACAATTCTGTGGAACTATTTTAAATTCTCATATATTATGTATGCCAATATGGTGGATAAAAAAAAAAAAGAGGAGTTGCTATTATCTGTTCCTCTAAACTTAAGTTTGAACAGATTTATTTGGAAAAATATCCACTTGGAAGGTTTATAATACTTATATGTAAACTGAACAATATTATTTACACTTTGGTTAATTTGTACGCTCCTAACGTATTTTCTCAAGCATTCTTTAGGAAACTCTTTGGTAAGATCTGGAAAATTAAAAAGGGGATATTATTAATTGGAGGTGATTGGAATACTATCCAATATCCAAAGACCTAAAACAATTGAAATACCCTCACGAAAAGCGATATATTTGGTTCCAGGACTTCCTAGCTAAATTTGGGTTATTCGATATCTGGAGGGTACAACACCTGACTGAAAAAGACTTTATGTTTTTAT